TGGACTTATTGCACAGGTGACAACCTATCATGGGACCACGCTTGGAGTCACTGAGCTCCTGAGAGTGACCCATTCTTTCACAAATGTTTGTAGAAGCAGTCTGCATGTCTAGGGGCTTGATTGTATACACCTGTGACCATGGAGGGGATTGGAACACCTGAATTCAATGATTTGGAGGGCTGGACCAATACTTTTGGCAGTATAGTATATGTAATTTTTATCACTGTTGGCCAACATGGTTTTAACAAATTTATGTATGTTCCTCTGTGGTTTTCATGTTTTTGAATAAAACATAATTTATACTTTTTGTAATTTTTGTATGGTGATATTGGGCTGTTCACAGAAATAATATATCTTTTGTATTTTTTGTAGTATATATATTTTTTAAGGCATTGTGGAGTAGAGTCTAAGCCAGGTTTGACTAACACTCCTGTGTACTCGCTCCTGAGCCAGCTCTGTGTGACCATTGTCACACAGAGCATGGCCCGTCCCTGCCCCCTACTCTCTCCTTACTGGCTGTGATTGACAGCAGCAGGAACCAATGAGGACAGAGAGAGCAGAGAGCGCCACTGCTCTTGTGCACATTACTTGATCAAGATCAGAATCCGAATGCAGAGAATGCATTAGAGTAAAAACACATCTTACCTTAAGAACTACTTTAACAGTAGTATTGCTTTGTGCATTATGCAAGGTGACCCTCTCTCTATATAATTGACCTTATTGCCAGGGCGATACTCTCTTTGGATCATGAGATATAGCATCTCCCTGTATTTGGTAAAATGTTAACCACTTGCCCTCCTGAGGATTTACCCCCCTTAATGACCAGGCCTCTTTTTGCTACTCGGCGCTACACGAATTCAACTGATAATTGCGCGTTCATTCAATGCTGCACCCAAACGAAATTTACGTCCTTTTTTTCACACAAATAGAGCTTTCTTTCGGTGTAATTTTATCACCTGTGCGCTTTTTATTTTTCACGCTATAAACAAAAAAAGGCCAAAAATTTTGAAGAAAAACAATATTTTTTACTTTCAGCTATAAAAAATATATAGTAACCTCAAAGTTGGTTATAAATTTAGGCCAAAATGTATTCTGCTCCATGTTTTTGGTAAAAAAAAATCCCAATAAGTGTATATTGATTGCTTTGTGTGAAAGTTATAGCGTCTACAAACTATGGTATAGATACTGCAATTTACGACATTTTCTGCTATACAGCGCTGCGCTAGTTTAACGGACAATTGCGCGGTCATGCAATACGGTACATAAATGAAATTTACACCCTTTTTTTCCCCAAATTGAGCGGTTGGTGGTATTTGATCGCTGCGCGGTTTTTACTTTTTGTGCTATAAAAAAAAAGGCTGACAATTTTGAGGGAAAAAAAAAATATTTTGGACTTTTTGCTATAAAACATGTCCAGTAAAAAAAAATGCAAAAATCAAATTTGGTCATAAATTTCTGCCAAAATGCATTCTGCGACATGTCTTTTCTAAAAAAAAAAACCAATACGTGTAAATTAATTGGTTTACATGAAAGTTATAGCGTTTACAAATGGTGGGAAAGATACTGGGATTTTTAGGTTTTTTTTTATACTAATAATGGCGGCGATCAGCGAATTATGGCGGCGATCAGGGACTTATGGCAGTGACCAGCGACTTATGACTGCGGGACTGCGGCGGACATTCTGACATTGGGGGGTACTGACTTGGGGTCACTGACATCCCCAAAAACACTAATACAGTGATCAGTGCAAAAAATAAAAACACTGACACTGTACTAATGGCAATGGGGAGGAAGGGGTTAACTTTATTTTGCAGGGAAGGGTTATAGGAGTGAGGGGGAGTGTTTTACTAGGGGGCGGGGGTGTGTACTGGGCGGGACAAGGCTGATCGAGAAAGAGAAACTGTTCTTTCTCGATCAGCTCATCCTCGAGCTGACAGGGAAGTGACAGACAGCACAGCTACTGCAGCTGTGCTGTCTGTCACTGTTTGCCGACGATCACCGGGACATAGCCGCTAACGAGCGGCTGTGACCCGGCGACTCACATCTGCGGCGGTGATCGGCGGGACAGATAGGGCGGCGGTGCGGCTCGCGCGCGCCCTCTAGCTGTTTACAAAACACACGTTTTAAAACGTGGTTTTGCCTGCGAGTGCCGCCCTGCCGCCGTATATCTACAGTGGCTGGGCGGCAAGTGGTTAATTTACTTGTTGTAATGTGGCACAGCTATGAGAGGCACACGGTTGTGGTGGAGCCATGGCACTGATAATAGGCTTTGTAACTAATCTCCTTCTATGGAACATTGATTTCCTGGCACCATGCTTAAAGAATTATATAATTATAACAGGGTGGTTTCACACACCTCCCATCCTGTTCTGACACAATCAGCATTTGCCTTGACATGTTCCATGGTGATTCATTTTAAGTGTTGGTGCTAGCTGTGTGGATATGGCTACTGGGGTACCTTCCTGACACTCATTAGAGCTGAAGAAGAGGCTTGGATAAACAGGGAAACATCTTCAACATTACAGAAAATGTCCAGTTGAGCGTGTCTAAAGCTGGATACACACAATCTGAATATTCAGAGAATTCCTACTGAACCTGCCAACATTGGGACCATGTGTATAGCCATCCTTCTGGCAGAAGCTAGTCTAAGAACCAGCTTTTGTTGAAGGGACATGATGGAAAACCAGCATCTGATCAGCTCTCGCAGCCAATAGCTGCCCCTGTCAGAACACAAAGACACGGCGATAGAGATTGCTAACATCATTTAGTATTGCGAGTACTCTGTTTTTTTCCTTCAGCCCACTGGATTGAACAAAATAAATGAATGCGTGTACCAGGCAGGGGTGCTCAACCTTTTGAAGAGCTGGGGCAACTGATTTGGTAACTGGTCATGGACCACAATGACAAGAAATGGTTCAGAATGTTTTTATTTTTAATTGCATAATGAAGAGTTTAAAAAACAATCAGGATCATCATTTTTCGTGGGTCCAATCCCCGCTGGATGTTTACCCACTGTTTAATCACAATCACAAAAAAATCTACTTTTTTATTACCCAGATCACCATTAATCCCATTCTCACGCTCAGGTGTGACCAGCCAAAAAAATCTCTGAAACAGTGTTGTAGCCTGTCAGGGTCTTTGCAACCATGCTTTGATTTGGCAAAGCAAGCAATGTGGGCAGGGGCGGACTGACCATTTGGAAACTCGGGCACTGCCCGAGGGCCCAGGGTCAGTAGGGGGCCCCATGAGATGCCCCTGGTACCTTTTTCATAGGCTTTTTTGAGTTTGGGCAAGGACACAGGGGCCCCATGATCCCCTCTTACCCGGGGGCCCCATGAGTTGTCAGTCCGCCCCTGACTGTGGGCAATCTTAAGAAAAAACAGACCAGAGAAGTGATGCCTTAGTAGTACAATACATTTCTTTATTAAGCAAAGATAAAATGACCATAATGCACTCACAAGCTCTTGGAAGGACACCAAACTCATCACACAGCTGCGAGAATCCACCTTTAGAACCCCTGCATGGATGCCGCTAGATGTAATTCACTCAGTTAAAGGTTCCTTTCCCTGTGTCCGTGTGTTAGGAAGGAAAGGGTGGAGCAGGGAGCTGGCCACAATAGTGGCTTGTGTATGACTGCCGGGATTATGGAGGACCGGCAATCATTCAGTAGAATAGCATGCACCCAAAGGAGGCTGTAGGTTTGAGGTCGCATGCCACTTCAGATGCTCCACAAGGCCATGGGTTGAACAGGCCTGGTCTAAATACTTGCTTGGTCATCTCTGACTTTTGGAAATCAGTACTTCACATCTCTTTCAGGTCATTGACTCAAATGATTGAATCCAGTAAATTCTTAGCCAGGCAATTCACATTTTCAGAAGAAGGATCAGCCTGTATATTCTCTCTTTATAGGTTTAATTTATACACTGGTATTTGGTGGCGATAGTTGTGCTTCATTATAAAGAAACGTTTCTCCATTTTGCATCAGGAGGATGAGACCGTTGTAGGTTTTGATACATCTGTGAAGAACAATTTAGAAATTATGGTAATTAAAGTTGATGGTAGTTGTACAGCCTAATTAACGGCATTTGTTTTACTAAAGCACAGTTATCATAAATAATTGGCATGTTTTGTTAAAATAAAATACTAATTTTCATCTTTTTGCATCCTTAGTTACATCTCAGGGCTTCTGATCTCCTGCAATCTTTCTGCAGTTGTTTCCTGTCTATATGGACTCTGCATGGCATTTCTCTAGATCAGGGGTAGGCAACCTGCGGCTCTCCAGCTGTTGCAGGACTACAAGTTCCATTATGCCTCTGCAAGTCATAGCTGTAACTGTCAATTTTGGAATGTCTCATGGGAAATGTAGTTCCACAACAGCTAGACAGCCCCAGGTTGCCTACCCCTGCTCTAGCTGGATGGATGCCAGGGGCGGACTGACAAACTCATGGGGCCCTCGGGCAATAGGGGATCATGGGGCCCCTGTGTCCTTGCCCAAACTCAAAAAAGCCTATGAAAAAAAGATACCAGGAGCATTTCATGGGGCCCCCTACTGACCCTGGGCCCTCGGGCAGTGCCAGAGTTTACAAATGGTCAGTCCACCCCTGATGGATGCATTCACACTTCTTGCACTTGCACAGTTAAAGTGGTATTAAAGCCACTTTATCACTTTTTACCTACAGGCAACCTTGCCTGTAGGTAAAAAGAATATCTCCTAAATGTGCACCGTTTAGGAGATATTCAGGTTTTTCGTACAGCAGAGCATGTGCTCTGAAGGAATGGCATACCCATGCTGTTCCTTCAGAGAACTGTGCCGTGTCCTGGGACTCCCATACACATGCGCAGAAGTGACGTCATAGCGACTCAGCCAGCCAGATGGCCGGAGCTCACGAACCCGAAAGTTAGATTGGGTGAAGATGGAATCCTCTACACAGGTGACAGCTTTAAAGTAATACTAAACCCAGGACCTTGCATTCACTATATCTGGTCTTCCTGGACCCTGCATTCACTATATCCTGGTCTCCTCGGACCCTGCATTCACTATATCCGGTCTCCTCGGACCCTGCATTCACTATATCTGGTCTCCCTCCCCGGACCCTGCATTCACTATATCTGGTCTCCCCGGACCCTGCATTCACTATATCCGGTCTCCTCGGACCCTGCAATTCACTATATCTGGTCTCCTCGGACCCTGCATTCACTATATCTGGTCTCCCCGAACCCTGCATTCACTATATCTGGTCTCCTCGGACCCTGCATTCACTATATCTGGTCTCCCCGGGACCCCTGCATTCACTATATCTGGTCTCCCAGGACCCTGCATTCACTATATCCGGTCTCCCCGGACCTGCATTCACTATATCCGGTCTCCCCGGACCCTGCATTCACTATATCCGGTCTCCTCCGGACCCTGCATTCACTATATCCGGTCCTCCCCGCCCCTGCATTCACTATATCTGATCTCCCCGGACCCTGCATTCACTATATCTGGTTTCCCCGGACCCCGCATTCACTATCTCCGGTCTCCCCCGAACCCCTGCTTTCCACTATATCCTTCCGGTCTCCCTGAAACCCTGCATTCACTATATCTGGTCTCCGCGGACCCTGCATTCACTATATCCCGGGTCTCTCCCCGGACCCTGCATTAAATTTACTATATTGGTCTCCCCGGACCCCAACAATTCACTCATTCACTATATCTGGTCTCCCCCGGACCCTGCATTCACTATATCTGGTCCATCTTCCCCGACCCCGACCCTATATTCTCCCATATATCCGGATCTCCCCGGACCCTGCATTCACTATATCACCTCTCCCGGACTTCCCGTGGACCCTGCATTCACTATATCCGGTCTCCCCCCGACCCTGCATTCACTATATCTGGTCTCCTTATATTTGGACCCTGAATTCACTATATCTGGTCTCCCCCTATCCGACCCTGCATTCACTATATCTGGTTCTCCCACAGTACTGGTCGCCCACAGTAGAACATGGAAGTGCAGTTATTTTAGTAAATATAAACTGCTAAATACTTTTTCTCATCAGCGGTTGACAGCAGCAGTCTCGTGACTTCAGCAGAGCACTGGTTAAAGCTTGTAGGAGTTTTCTTTCTGCTCTAGGAGGATGCAGAACCCCTGGCCTCTGTCTGGACAGTGCTGATTGCCCCTGTGCTGATCAAATGCCAAAAAAAAAAACCTCTTTCAGCAATACCACCAAACTGAGCATGTGCATATGACTAATGGATTTAGTCTGTATCAGGTGGTCATTTCAACAAGAGGAGGGGTAGAGAAGTCAGGATCAAACAGCCTTTTTACACAATGCAGAGGATTAACCCTTTAGATTCCACAGTGAGTATAACAAGCATGCTTTACTGCATATACAGTGACTGATTTTACTGTTGTGGGTTTTAGTAACACTTTAGGGTAAGGTGTTTGCATTAATGTGCTAATATCCGATGCATAATAGCACATTATGCCTTTTATCTTGCAGGGGATTTTTATGTATATATTTTTTTAGACGGTGTTACTACCGCTTTAAATTTATTCTACTTATTTTTTCCTATAATTATTTTTCCTAATTTGTTTTTTTTCATTTTCATTGTTATTTCATCTTCATTTTTTATCTTTTTACATAAATTTGCAAATACTTCCCTTTACTTTTTTTTTCTTTTTTATTACTCCTTTTATCTCCTTTTATTATTCACAGTGACTTTGAATTCTATACGTTTCATGTTATTATTTACCTTAACCTTTTTTTTTGTTGTTGTGTGTGCTTTTTATTTCTATGTGGGGTTTCTTTGTAATCCATCACATAAAAACAATGTGGTGTGTGTGATGTTTTTTTGGGGGGGGGGGGGGGGGGGGGGGTGGGGGGGGGGGGGGGGGGGGGGGGGGGGGGGGGGGTGTGTGTTAATGTACCCCTGGGTGGGGGGGGGGGGGGGGGGGGGGGGGGAGGTGGGGGGGGGGGGGGGGGGGGGGGGGGGGGGGGGGGGGGGGGGGGGGGGGGGGGGGGGGGGGGGGGGGGGGGGGGGGGGGGGGGGGGGGGGGGGGGGGGGGGGGGGGGGGGGGGGGGGGGGGGGGGGGGGGGGGGGGGGGGGGGGGGGGGGGGGGGGGGGGGGGGGGGGGGGGGGGGGGGGGGGGGGGTGGGGGGGGGGGGGGGGGGGGGGGGGGGGGGGGGGGGGGGGGGTGTGTGTGTGTGGTATCATGGACCTGACAATATCACTATACACATCCTGACAAATGATCGACAGATCATGGCCGAGATCATGCAGATTTAACCAGCACCTCTGTCAGTCCTCCCCACCTCTGTGACCAAGTCCCAAAACGCATTAGGGGTGTGGATGGAGCGGAAACTGAGTCCCAACACCACGATACTCTTACTGGGGAGGCAGGGGCGGACTGACAACCTCATGTGGCCCCCGGCAATAGGGGATCAAGGGCCCTTTGTCCTTGCCCAAACTCAAACAGCCTGTGAAAAAGGTACCAGGGGCACCTCATGGGGCCCCCACTGACCCCCCTTGGCAGATGCCCGAGTTTCCAAATGGAACAGTCCCCCCTGCTGGGGAGGTTGATGCGGCATCTGTCTTTTCCACTTTTTTTGATGATAGGGATGACGGCTCCCATTCTCTGTAACCAGCGGGAGTTCTCTGGTTTTTTAGCGGTACAACAAGTTCAATCAGCTTTTAACCATTTGGGTGTATAGTAGACTTTTACCTATGGGAAGGAGAAAGGAAGATTTTTTGTATGTGAGCTCCATCTTTAAAGGACTGTTTGTATGACTCAGTCAATAAAATATTTCCAAATTCTGTAGTCCCTGAGCAAAAAGCCGTGATTGGAAGGTCATTTTCTTTGGCTGAGAAAGACTACCCACAATGAAACACATGTTGGGTGAGGGATCCGCCTAGTATAGGTGAAGCTACAGGCTTCAAAGGAAATATGAAAAGCTACAGCTGAACTGGATCTCTCAGTATGTAGCTAAGATCAAGAACATGGCCTCAACCCAACAGGATGAAAGTTCAAAACTTGTTTATACTAATCTGTAGAAAAGTATTAATTTACCAAAAGTGAAGGTGATGCTTGTAACAGATTTACAGCAGAGGAAGGAAGTCAGTCAACAGTAAATGAATTTAAACATGACATGTGGAATAGACTCCCTCAAGAGTTTGGTTCTCTGGCAACCAAACTGATATAGAGAGGCATGGAGGAAGCTCAGCTTGTGAGGAAAGATTAGAGGAACTGTAATTTATTCTCTCTTGAGAAGAGGAGATTAAGGGGGGATATGATCTCCATGTATAATACATAAGGGGGGGAAATAATGAAAAGTGATCTCCATGTATAATACATAAGGGGGATATGATCACCATGTATAATACAGAAGGGGGGATATGATCACCATGTTAATACATTCATAAGGGGGGATATGATCTCCATGTATAATACATAAGGGGGGTTAACATCCATGTATAATACATAAGGGGGGATACTACCATGTATACGATCACCATGGTATAATACATAAAGGGGGGTATGATCACCATGTATAATACATAAGGGGGGATATTGTGATCTTCTCATGTATAATACATAAGGGGGGATTATCGTATCATCTCCATGTATAATACATAAGGGGGGATCTCCATGTATATGAATCACCATGTATAATACATAAGGGGGATACGATCTCCATGTATAATACATATAGGGGGGATATATGATCCCATGTATAATACATAAGGGGGGATATGATCTCCATGTATAATACATAAGGGGGATATGATCTCCATGTATAATACATAAGGGGGGATAATGATCTCCATGTATAATACATAAGGGGGGGGTTGATCTCCATGTATAATACATAAGGGGGGATATGATCTCCATGTACATAAGGGGATATGATCTCCATGTATAATACATAAGGGGGATATGATCTCCATGTATAATACATAAGGGGGATATGATCTCACCATGTATAATACATAAGGGGGGATATGATCTCCATGTATAAGATACATAAGGGGGATATGATCTCCATGTATATATACATTAAGGGGGGATATGATCTTCCCATGTATAATACATAAGGGGGGATATGATTCTCCATGTATAATACATGGGGGGATATGATCTCCATGTATAATACATACGGGGGATATGATCTCCATGTATAATACATAAGGGGGGATATGATCACCATGTATTAATACATACGGGGGATATGATCTCCATGTATAATACATAAGGGGGGCATAATGATCACCATGTATAATAAAAACGATAAGGGGGGGATATGATCTGACCATGTATAATACATAAGGGGGGATATGAATCTCCATGTATAATACATAAGGGTGGGGGATATGATGGAGTCTCCATGTATAATACATAAGGGGTAAAATACATAAGGGGGATATGAATGGATTATAATAAATACATAAAGGGGGGGGATAATGATCAACCAATGTATAATACATAAGGGGGGATATGATAATCTCCATGTATAATACATAAGGGGGGATATGATCTCCATGTATAATACATAAGGGGGATATGATCTCCATTTATAAAATACATAAGGGGGGATAAGTCTCCATGTTTTTATTCTACATAAGGGGGGATATGATCACCATGTATAAACATAAGGGGGGATATGATCTCTCCATGTATAATATCATAAGGGGGGATATGATTCTCAATGTATAATACATAAGGGGGGATATGATCACCATGTATAATACATAAGGGGGGATATGATCTCCATGTATAATACATAAGGGGGGATATGATCACATGTATAATACATAAGGGGGGGATATGATCTCCATGTATAATACATAAGGGGGGATATGATCACCAATGTATAATACATAAGGGGGGATATGATCTCCATGTATAATACATAAGGGGGATATGATCTCCATGTATAAATACATCAGTGGTTCATATAGTGAACTCGGTGTAGAGTTCTCGGAGAGATCAGGAATGAATATTTTCCCCTGCAGGAGCAAATTGAATCGTGCTTTGCTGGGTTTTTTCCTTCCTCTGGATCAACTGTGGGTGTAGGGTTATAACTTTTTTTTTTTTACTGGTTGAGCTGGATGGACTTTTGTCTTTTTTCAGGCAGACTTAACTATAAAGGGCTCATCGGTCAATGGACAGTTTCCTTGCAAATGTTGAAGTTCCTGGCAAGGAAAAATATTATATTTGCCCAGTACTAACAGGCACTGACTCAAATCTTCAGATCTGTCTCCTCGCCATGCTTACCACCCACTTTGCATGGAACAGTCTTACTAGTTTCTGGGGGAGACCATGGCTTTGGAATAAGTCTGCGGAGTTGTACAGGAGATGATGAAGTTCTTAGCTGCATAGTAACTCAAAGGATTGCTACAAAAAAGTCCTGGATTGTTTCTTGGATACACAGAATATAACTGGATATAACATTTATAGGTAAAGTTGATCCAGGAAATATCCGATGGCCTCTCGGGGGATCTCGGGGGATCAGAAAGGAATTTTTTTCCCCCTGCAGGAGCAAATTGGTTCATACTTTGCTGGTTATTTTGCCTTCCTCTGGATCAACTGTGGGTGTAGGATTATAACTTTTTATTTTATTTATTTTTTTAAATGGTTGAACTGGATGGAATTTTGTTTTTTTTTCAGCCAGACTAACTATGTAACTGTGATTGGGACAAACTTAGTCCTATTTTCAAAGAAAAATATTAAAAAAAAAAGGATAAAAATAAAAAAGGGGGCATACTCTGCTGTCTCTTTTTTTTTCTGTCTTTATAGAAATGATGGCAAGTTCTAAATGTCATGAAGGAAAATTACTTAATAACCACTTTGAATTCATAATGCAAATAGAATAATGAACACATTGGCCTTGCTGATCTTTATGCAAATAAAGATGATGAGATTAGATTTGACTAAACAAAATGCTCTCATATCCTGGTTGTTCTATGTTACCAATACGCAGGGCAGGCAAATGATGTTGTGCAATGCCATGGCCAAGATTAAAGTGACACACCCTACCATT